TATATATATATATATATATATATATATATATATATATATATATATATATATATATATATATATATATATATATATATATATGCGGCATATCGTTTTTTTCTACCCGGTTATTGCCTCTTCACAGTGTTTTCCTAGGTCAATTTTTGTTTGATATATCTTCAAGATGCTCATGCGTTCGTAGCATGTATGACTGCACGTGGGACGCGGTCGCATATGCACCTGCAATTAGCTTACTAATTGGTTTAATAGTCTTAGAACTAATATATTGGTTGTCAGTAACTGAATATGAACTTTGATAATGATGATGTCTGAATGAAGTGCTATTTACTAACGCATTTTTTGAAAAACACTGAAGTGAATGTTGTTATTGCTACCGATATTTAAATTCATGAATGTTTTCGGTTTCAATTCGAAGCATTAATACCTTTTTGCACAAAATTATGTATCTAGTTCATTTCCAGGTGTCGGAAAACGCGAATGCTTCATTTGTGAAAAGGCGGACGGATTTGAAGATAGGGAATTTGTTCGTTGCCCTTCAACTAGCGTTGAAAATAATTGTAATGATGAGCATGCAGCCACTGTTGACGAGGATGCTTCTGCTTTCGGCCATAATAAAATTAGGAAATGCAGTTTTCCGTCATGCACTTTGCGATTCCACGAAAATTGCCTTTTGATTTTTACAGAAGGTCCTTATTCAAATGGTCTAAGTTTCTTACTACGGGTGTCCTCCATTTGTTCAAATGAACAAAATAATTGCTATCGTTCCGTTAACACTCTTATATCTGCATGTATTGATATTTACGAGAATTAAATTTAAAGGTGACTTCCTGCCAAGAATGCACATATTGGACAGACATGGTGATCTTTGTATTAATTTAAAAGATAGCAAAAAGTGGATATGTCCTCAACATGAATGCAATTTTTGTAATCAGGAGCTTTTACGAACACGGGCTTTTCAAGGTGATCATTTTTCGCATCATTTTCCTATAGCATCGTAATTTGTCAACCTTTAAAGTCTAAGTTTTCTTAAGATATCTTCTACGAACTCAATATTTTAGAGACTGCCATTATGATGACCAATCGGTGTTTTTGTCAGTCTTCAAAAAGATAGTCTGAAGTCAAGCAAACAGAAAATTGTATATTTAGTTAGAATTGATAGGTTGCAAATCTTCTCAAAGAGGCCTATAGTAACTCACTATTAATTTCCAGGTAAATTTATACGATGCGTAAAATGTGTGTTCGCTTGGCACCGTTCATGCGTCATCGTTGGTTCGCTGCATATGGATCGAAAACGTGATCGCTATATTCTTTGTCCAAGGCACTGCACTGTGAAACGTGCTTCAAAGCGAAATATCGCATACTGCATCAAATGTGAAAATTCCTTTGGTAAATTTTACGGTAAAGAGAAGGAAAACAGTGGTGGGCATGTTCTAATTTGATGAGACGTAAACTACCAATTATAACAAAATGTTTTAAATTTATGGATTCTTACATTCTTTTGTAGAAGATGAATCTCACAAAGTGGCATGTAACTCCTGCATACGTTCTTTTTGCCGAAGCTGTGTTGCTGAGAAAAATAAAATCAAAGATACGGAAATTGGAGATAATGCATTTATATGCGATTTTTGCCGATGTTTCGATTTCCCAAGAATTGGTGACTACGTTCTGGCGACTTACAAATCCAAGTAATAGCCGCCATTTTTTTCCTTCTTTTTTTCTGTATGGAACAGTGACTTAATACATTTCACATTCGCGAAACTTATACTACTTGGAATCTGTACGGGAAGTATTTGGTAATGTTTCGTTAGCAATTCGAAAAAAGACTTTTTTAATTTGAATTTGTGGAAATGAAGGAAAATAATAGTCATGAATTTTAATAAAGTAGGAATTTGTAACTGATGCATTTGTTTCCTCTAATCTCTAATCTGATGTGACTAGTTTTGTTCCAGTATTTTAAATAGTTTGATAAAGAGATTTATATAGATGAAAATTTATTTTTCAGCTTTTGGCCTGCAAAGTCTCTCCATGCTGATTTATTGCCATTATCATTGTATTCTATGAATAATTTGGTTGAAAAACTTCGCAAGGTATCGATATTTTTCGTTACAATTTCTCAAGACTGAGAGCCATATTATCCGTTACATTATTGTGCGAAAACTCCGTACTTTCCTTTAGATTTCTTATGTAATTTATTTTTATTTTAGCCGGGCTATGTGCTTGTTCAGTGGATTGAAGGATTAGGTGTTCCAAATTATGATGTCGTGACATGTAGAGACTTGGTTCCACTTCCAAAAACATTGAATTGTTCGTTTTGGAAGCGTATGAAGACACATGCAAAGATTTACAAAGGTCTTTTTTTTCTTCAAAATTGTTTCATGTATGCGTTGTATAATTGTGCCACAGAGATTGTTGTGGAAACAATGCTGCACATTATTCAGAATGAAACTCTGATTGAGTTATGCTTCTTCTAACATCATATAACTCTTTGCGATTGGTGGGATCTCTTTGAAGATGCAAAAAGTATAATGCGTGACTTTTTTCTTAGTAGCTTAGTAGGATTTTTCTTCAGAGTATGAAATTTTTGTCAGCATAGTTTTGTTGTATGACTGGGTGAGTGAAATTTTAGCTGTTGAAGCTATATACGCTAATTCGAAAGCAGCATTTGGTATCAAGCGTCCCCTTCCACAAGAAGTTGAGGCAGAAATAATACCAAAATATACGAGAATTAAGGTGTCTTTTAAATCAAATATGTTTTTTCACTTTCTGCATATTACTTTGTTTCACCATTTTATATTTTATCAGTTGGATGTGAGTAATTATTTAAAGGCTAAAAAAATTGCTTCTAGAAAACAAATTGTCAAAGGGATGAAAGACTGAGAAGGATAGCTGAAGTTAAGACACAATTTTTGTGGAATTTCCAAACTATGAATAGGATGCCGGTTTACTAGAGAGGTGTAGTTGTGTCATGAACTTCAGGTAAATATAAACATGCGGCTAGCGAGAGCGCCATCGGATACAACTGAACTGGGTCACTGTAATTGCGAACCTATCAATGGAATGCGCTGTACCATTGCTCATAATTGCTTGAATCGGATTTTGATGACGGAATGTCCTGAGGTTATTATCTAGTCAAACTTTTTTATTAAGTCCTTATTACTGTTGATTCCGTGATCCATTAAACAGCATTGTGAATGCTTTAAAGTTTTGTAAAAAAGTTTAAAAAGGATTTTATAGGACTGCGATTTAACTTACTTCGGAAGGCGGAACGCACTTGTAGGCGGTACAAAGCGACAGATTTTAAAAAGAACTACAAAATTGATTGTTAGTGAAAATTCCCTTTTACCGTCACAACAGATGTGTGCAAATAATTTTTTGCGGCATCATGATACCAATGATGATGATTTATTTATGGAGGAAAAACCAACCATCCTGAAAGGTTTCGGTGCCTTCGCGAAATGTGATATTAATAAAGTAAGACATCAAATAGTATGGTGTTTTTAGTTCAAAAGTTTGTTTAAAACTTTGTCAGTTTTATCAATAAATAATTCAAAAATGGAGTCCCCGTATATTTGTCTTGACCGAAGAAAGAAGCCTATTTATTATTGTATTTTAATTAGTTTCTTAAATGATTAGATCGAGAAGAAAGGAATATCGGATTTCGCTGTTTTTTTTCCTTTTTTCTTCGTGACATTCGAATTTTTTTTTTTATTTTTACATCGTTTTTTGAATGCTAATTGCATATGAAATAATGAAGAAACAAAACTGTGTTAATGAAGTAGTCTTTTAGGGTACTGATTTGACCGAATACGTTGGACATGTGATGACGAAGGAAGAATATTTCGAAAAACTGCGGTTTCGTTGTTTATTTAATAATTTGGAGGCATCATATTTTGGAATGCAATTGACAAATGATTTTTACGTGGATGCACGAAATTATGGCAATATTGCTCGGTCGTTCAATCATTCATGTGAACCGAACACTAAAGTGGATGCTGTGGTGGTGTGTACCTCCGTTTACCATTTGGATTCTTTTATTTCTTAATTTATAATTACCAGAGTTCTTATTAGTGGTTTCGTTGCAGGTTGATGGAATTTACAGACTCAAAATTTCGACAATTAGAGATATCAAAAAAGGTAGTCAATAGCTAAATTAATGGAATCATCAAGATTTTATTATATTTTTTCTTAAATTTATTATGGTATACTTAACGTTGTATTTTCTATCACTAGTCATTAAAATTTCTTTGCATAATTTTTTAGGTGAGGAGTTAACCTTTGATTATGACACGGAAATTATTGAAGGTCTTGTGGGCATGGAATGCTTATGTGGTTCTACAAACTGTCGACGCATAATTGGAGTAATCTCCATTTCGCCAACTTTATTTCTTTCCCCACTTTTTTTACTCGTTTTCCTTGTCCTTTCGCTGTGTAAGTAGAATTAAAGTTTCAGAAAAAGGCAAATACAACACGGAAAACTACAAGTGTAAAAGGTCTGTCTCTGTTAAATGAACATACCAATAATAACGGAGAAGGGATTGCTCAATCAAAAACAACCGGATCCAATTTCAGTGAGGTAATATTTGTTTTGCATATTATGGAAGTAAGTCTTTAATTTTCCAATTATAAATTAACTTATTTATAGATGTGTGAAAATATCGGTCATTCCGCGCAAGAGCATGTACAAAATAAGCGAAGGAAATATGCTGACGAAAACAAAGATGCAAAGAAAGATCAAGCTTGTGAGGTTTCCGGACTTTATTTGATCAATTAATAATTTATTCAACTTTAAGATAGACGGTTTATGTAGGAACATTCGCATTATAGCGGAAGAGATCGTACGATAAGCATTTTTGGTCATTCACATACAGGTTCTCTATATTTTGTTGTTAAATGCAATAAATTAACGTTATTTTGATATGGAATTTTCAGATTCTGTGATGATAAAGAGGAATGGTGAAAGAAAGCGACCACGGAAATTACAAATATGTAAATTTTGATAATCTTAACATAGCGAACGTTTGCTAATTACTTTTTATGCCATTCCCCTTGAATCCATCATATAAATGACTTGCAGGTATTTGTGAACAGATCGGTCAAAATGACGAAAATATGGGAGGAAGTGAAACTGAAAATCATTTGTCCTCAGGAAAAGATCTAGCAAATAAAGTTGCCAATGCTTCCGTGAAAGATGCTCATTATCAGTCAAGGGAAAAGCAGTTGATTGACTCAGAGAATGAATTTCTTAGAAGTTCTACTGCTGAACAGCTGGAAAGAGGGGGAGATGGGTATAGACAGAAACTATTTTCTTAAACTGCCAAAACTAGTCTAGTAGGCATTAGATCTAATTCGTCTTTTCACACTAACAAAACTTCATGAATTCTTATTTGACTTTACTAAAAATTGTTCACTTTGTTTGAAATTCATTAAGAAACTGTGTTAATAATTGATAATGAATTCTTGATAGCTGATGTTGCACAGACAGCAAAAGATGAAAAAAATGGGAAGAAAACAGTTTATAGCTAATCCATTAGGTATTTCATTTGTTGTCTTAAATGTGTATGCGTGTTCATATATTTTAAACGTTGTAAACGTTTAAAATATATTTTTGCTGTATAGAAAATCATTTTTCTTATGATTATGAATATATTCCGGTACTATTTTGTTTTGGATTTCAAGTTTCCTCTAATGGTTACAATTGAATGGATATTACTCTAAACATGAGTTAACACGGTTAATGAGAGATCTCTTGTTTTTCGTTCTGCATTTTCTCTAGTTTCCGTGATTTTCTGCTTTAATTGCCGTACAAAATCCATTTATTACATTATCTGTATTACTTTTTTCCGGTTCAGGGTGCTCCATTTATGCGATCTAATAGTCTTCTTATAATATTATTCTTTTTTCTTGAACTTGAAGTGGTTTTTTTTTTGTTTAAATGTAACGAAATTTATTCTGAAGCACTTATTTCAGTTGCTTCTTTTATTTGTTTCTGCACTATAATATTTTAAATTCAGCGTTACACTCGAAATTCATGTTCATGCAGTTTGTTGGTGCTTATTTTGTCTATCGTTCTTTCTGTATGACAAGATAATGTAACTTTACTGTACACATATTGGTAAAGAAATAATGAACTTTGAATTTTCTGCAAAGATAGTTTCATTAACTCGGTGATAAATGGTTTAAATAGTAGTACATTCAAGTGGATAAAGCATCAGTGAAGCGAAAGCCAAATTTTATATGTAATGCAACATTTGAATAGATATTACTTTGAACAAGAGATGGGTTTTGTAAAGCAATAAATTAATTCACAGATGATGGATACTGTTCTTCAATCGATATTTTTATCGGTAGTGTATTTGCCACTTGGCTGAAAACATCAATTTTCCTTCACTTCGTTCAGTTAAAAATGTGAACAATCTTTGAATTGTTTTTTGAATTTGAGGAGGAAGTAACGAGTAAAAAGAAAAGGAGGAAACTATGGTGACACATTTGTGTCATAAACAAGGTAATTTGCTTCTTTGTCTTTCTACCATCCGGTAATGTAATTTGCTTCTTTGTCTTTCTACCATGAAATGTATGTTTACGGAAATATAATTCACGTTGATGGGCTACATGATTTTTTCTTTGTTAACTTCAAAAGACAATAAAACTTACCTTCCGAACTTGGTCCAGTTGTAATAAGCCCAGGAGGTATACAGTTTTATCCATGGAAGCTGTAAAGAACGGCCAGTAAACGTCTTCATTTTGATGTCGATGAAGTGTTTTTTTCTTTTTTTTCACACAACTTTTCATTAATATATTCAAATGCATGAAATTTCATATCTTACATATCTTAAATCAATTCTAATGCTAAGGGAAATAATGGTGCTGGATTGTCAATAAGGAGCAGTGACAGTAAATTTAAAGTAATGTGACAAGATGATTTAGTAAGTCTGAATTTCTTACTCTAAAATGGAGTGATAATTTATCGTAGGGCATATTTTCTTTCAGGATATTGGAATTTTATATCAAAGATAGAAAGCTTTTGAAGGAATGTCACTTAGCAAGAAATGTTATTTTTGGAAATAGCATTTCTTGTAGCAATCTTATCATACCGATAGAATAGTCTCTGAAGTATAGATTATAAATCGGAATTTTGTTAAAAAACAAGAAAGACATTGTGTCATTATCGTTCATTACAGACATTGTGATGTTGTCATTTCTTGCAGAATCAACCGTTTACTAATTATTCATAGAACAATTCGCAGTATACATTGTAAATGCGAGAAGAATATTAACACTTTGGATAAATAACTTGAGAATTTGATTTGGGATCAACAATGATCTTAGAACTCAATCATTGGATTTATCAGAGCGATACCATAGGTGGTTATTTGATGTGTCGTTCTTCTATAAATTTTGATTCTCTCTTTCGATGTATTCTAGGAACGAAATTAATTGTCGTCTCATTCTTTCCATCCTTATCATCCTCTTCACTGCTGCTACTGCTACTGTATCTTCTGTCTTGCTTGTCTCCTGCCTTATGAACATGAAGTTCGTGTTCTGTAAAGTTCACCATTATCACTGATAACTGTCATCTTCTATTAACATTAACAGTGATTACTTATATCAGTTTGCATCTTATACTTTAAAATAATTAGCAGAAGAATTTTTGAGATATCGATGCATATGTGAAAATGCCCCAATAAGAAGGCACGGAATGAAATCAATCAAAAATTTGAGTCACCAATTACCAATTAACTAAACACCAATTAACTAAACATTAACACCAATTAGCACCAATTAACTAAACATTCATACCATGTCCTCTGTCTTCTTTATGTCTGTCTCCGTCATCATTTCCTGCAAAACCTGGAATTAATTATGGGTAGTTATATTTTCATTCCTGAATTACAGTACTTCTTGCAAAATGAAAATATATAAAAAAGCTTTACTTGAAGAAGACGAAGCAGTAAGTTCTGAAGTATCATCTCGATCGCTTGTCTTCTTTCGGCCACTCTTACTACGTGCTGCATCCATGTGCGGGAGTAATACACCGATTAGCAATGCCCCAACGATTACTTTGATATTCATCGTTATGTTATACTGTTAATATTCATTGTTTCATTTTTTGTAAAAGAGGGGAAACTTCTAACAATGGATCAAGAAGTTAAACATGCTATATGTACGTTTATTCATTTATCATAAATTAAAAAAAGGATATTTGTAAGTTACTTCGGAGGAGTTGTATGAAATTTAAGAATGAAATCTTAAAGATTTTAGGTATAATGCCTTGGGAAGTTAACAATGTAAGGTATAATATACTTCAATGAGATACCTTCTCATGGGAACGAGAATTTGCGGTAATAAATAAATAATGGCTGAAGTGAAAAACAATGTGAGCTCAAAAGAATCAACTTATTAATAACTAATAGAAAGAAGAAAATCCATTTAATGCATGCAGGATAACATTGTATATGACGAAATATTTACAAGAAGTAGTAGTTTTTTTAAAACTGCAATGATGAAGGGGGAAAAAAAAATTATTTTGATTTCAGAAACTCGTTACTGTATTCCTTCTATTTGACTTCATTTAATAGGAAATAACAAATTTATAACATATTTTATTATTGAAATTAAGAACCTACCTGTTTTTTTTGAAATATTTTATTTTAACACTGATAAAAATACTTTAAGAAAAGTTATCTGGTAAAAAGTATTATGATAATGCAATATGTATAAAGGTATTAGTCATTGCGCACTCATATTAAGACATGAACTGCAATCGATCAAGTTAATTTAATTAACGTTAATCAGGAATGCCTTTGGATTCTAAGATAAATGAAGTAATTTTTTTTCCAAAAATAAACCATACAGATTCATTATTATACATTTCATATGCAAATTATTGCTAGATTTTATGACATTCGTGACTAATTATTTCTAGAAATTACCATCAAAATATTTGGCCAAGTAATGAAATAAAGGAAAACATAAATAGGGAAGATTACTGACAAACTACTAGTGTTAATCAGCTTGAAAGATGAACGACAGTGAGATCAATTCTGGAAAAGCAACTGTCTCCATCAGAATTGAAACAAAAACCATTAGTTCTTCATGAAGAAGCAACAAAGTAAAGACTGCTGATAAGCGCCTTGAAATTGAAATAACAACTCCAGTGAAGCACGATATTAATTACAATCCTATGGCGTACAGACACACACATACACATGCACGCACATACACATACACATACACACATACACACACATATACACACATCTTCCTACTGCTACCTTTCCTTTGCTGCCATATGTACTTTCAATCCGAATTTTCTGGACCTTTCAAATGCTTAACATCTCCGCAGTAACAAGAACACACCAAAAGATTAACCGGAATAACATCACTATTTTAAATCCATCCTAAGCAACCAATTTCCCTTTTTTTCTTTTCTCTACTCACTAGAATATTATCATTGCAACCACAGTATAAAATTAGAAAAATCACTTCAAATATGAAAATCTAAGCCTAATCCCACCGCACAAAACCAACTGGTCGTAACTCAGTAAGTCTACATCTTCAATAATTTGAACTTTTTTTTAGTACGACCTTCCCCAAAGGATGAGAACTTCATAATATACTTCATTGCCATTTATCACAAACTGCACTTGTTGCCTCCACGCCTCCTTTTATGTGTCCGTTTGATTTTTAATATCAGAGCATTGCGAAATTTTTATTATTACATAATCATTGAAAATAAGAAAAAAAAACAGCATTACAAACATATCATCACACTGCGTGTGAATCATATATTCACATAAAAAATGAAAAAACTGGAGCTCGCTGAATTTTATCGCCGGAAAAACGAAGATGCAATTTTTTCCATAATAGCCCCGACCCATTGAATGAGAATGACATAGGATTTCAAAATTTATAAATTAGATTGGTAATCTACTACTTTCAGTTCAAACAACTTAGAAACCAGAAATGAGAGATCTTGATAACTAAAGCTTATCGCTCTTTCTTCGTTTCTATATTATTCTGAACTGTTTCAGTTGAGCTCTGTAGGTCATTATCATTAGACAGTTTAGCATCCGTCAACTGTTTTTGTGATTCTTTTTCACCAGTTGGATCTTCCAACGAAACACCATATTCATTAACACGTGTTGGATCAACGCGATATATCCACCTTTGGTAAATATATATCTAAAACAAATTAAGCGAAATGAATATAAATGTCAGATTAGATTTACAAAAGCCTAATAATAAGATAACACAAAGGGTTAAGCAGTTGAAAAGTCATCTTGGAAATGGAAGGCCAAGAAAAGTCGCTACCAAGAAATTGTTTACCAGGAAGTTCTGGCGCATTCGTATACACTTGATCTATTAGTCCAACAAAATTCAAATTAATTTGTTCTTGAAGATTTGTCTAAGAAATAACTCAACACTACATGCTTGTAAATGATTGGAACGATTTTTCATTAAAAAGTTGACAACCAACCAAAAACACAATATCATCTCGAAAACATCCTAAGCGATACATTGTTGGCATTCTGATGACAAATGCAAAGAGATCATCGATGAACGTATTGATGAATTTGTATGTTAGCATACGCCAAGGTAAATGAGCCACAGATTTTAGCTTATAATTTATAAAAAGCTGAAATATTCAACAGATCTCTCACTTTTCCTTCACGATTAAATTAAACAATTATGTGGAAATACATATCAAATATCATTTAGCAAAAAGAATGAATTTTTAATTGCAGTAAAATCTAACCTGTGGTGTCATCATAATAAATCCAAATGTAAGTAAAAAGCTGTAAAGCATGCTCAGTATCCAACTATACCAACCACGTTGTTCGACATACATAAGAGAGTACACTGCATAGCCACCAAGTAGTGGAAATAGCACCCATGACAGATATTTGAAGGCTAACTAAAATTATATCACGCGTAACATCAAATTATCCAACAAATCTACCACACAAAACTTCTGACGATTTCTGTAGACATGAATAAAAATTTTAATTTTCCGCCTACTAGGAATAAAGTTATGTACCCTCGAGAAAGCGAGTACAACTACTGTAATAAACCGTAACCACACGCACTAACCTGATCATATTGTTTCGTGTCCGATTCAACATATGATCCCTTATCGGTAAATACGATCGTTGGCAAGAAACCAAATAGTTTTTGAGTCCGATCAACCTTAAATGATAGTTTCAAAAATAAGTAGTGAACTTCAGTCAATTAGGAGGAGTGTAGTGTCGAGTATGAATTACAAAGACAAGAGACATTAGCTGAAAACACATATGCATATTATATATTATACCCGTCGGTTTAAATTTTGCGACAAAAGATGGTGGTTTCAAATATGTTGTTTGTGAATTATGAAGGTGGAAATCTTACACTTATATTGACACATTTCGGTATTTTCCATAACTCAATCACTAAACCAACTCCAACAGACATTTTGATAATCCAAGAAGTATCGTTATCGCAGATGTATAGGAAAACGATGACAGATTGGAACACGCTGAATAAAACTGAACGAACAGATAAGCCCTGCAAAACAAATTCGAGATAAACAGAAGAATAAGCAACACTTCAAAAGAACTTAGGAATTCCGCAATAGAAAATTCCCACATACCTCCAAGCTCTTTCGTGATCTCCAAAATTGAATGTCATTTTTGAAAGCCAAAAACTCGAAAACGGTGTGTAGTATTGAAACAGTAATTGTCAGTCCTGCAAATAGCGGAATTTTCTTCGAATGATTTCCAATAAAAACGGTTTATTAATAAAATAACGGCAGATTCGAAAACGAAATGGCTAACCAAGTAATAATGGACTTGTTTCGAGAAGTGCTTGCTTGATTGAGTCCTGATCATCATCCCCATCCTCAAATAGTTCACCACCGAACATCTGCGACCATTTCCCACGCATCTGCAGGTAAGCAATTTGTAAAAAGTGCCGGAAATTGAATTAAAGAAGAAATTTTCAGCAAAAACAGAGATGGAATGTAGGTCGAAGGACTGACGTACAAAACCAACTACAATTTTGAACGCTAATTGCTCACCATACTTTTTAGCGCTTTATGCAAACCAAACAAAAATTTTTTATTTGATCGGCTGAATAGAAGCGCGGGAACTTGTTCTGAAGATTTTGTCTCGTAATGTTTCACATATTTTTCCTACGCAAAACCAACCTGCTGCGATGCGTATAGCTGCCATTTAAATAATGATATTGGGGCATACCGGACTGAGAGCTTTAGTTCTTGAACTGAGCTATTTATTAACATGTAGTCGGCTGCCAAGTTCCAATAGTCATTGAAAAAGAATATGGGCTTGTAAGTGTTATCAATCGGGTCAAACTTTACAGCTTCATCAAGGGGAGATGGTAACGAACCTGCAAAACAGATCGCTACTGATTTAATAATGAACTCATTAGGGGGAAGCAAGACAACAATTCGACTACCCTTGCTTATGAAGAATTTCATGTAAATTTTTATAAAAACATTTTACCTCTCTGCCATGCTGTTTGATCATCGACAAGACTGATCGTTAAATTGGGATGCCAATAATTCAGTACTTCAAAACTCATCACTTCAGCCTTCTTTTGTTCTTCCTCGGTCTGCTCTGTTTTGCCAGTAAGCAGATTTTGTGTTTTT